TTTTGATTGGAAATTTTTTTCTCAAAAAATGGCGGTGTAGCACAAAAAGTTCAGCGACTAAGTGACTTGCACTATAGTAATTCGTTGTTGATCAGAAGAATTACCAGTAGAAGCTTCTTCTATATTTTGAAAAGTTGATTCAACTTCTGGATTATTGTATTACTAAAAAAAAAAAAGTATAAGTTTATATTATTAATTATAATAAAAATATATAATAATTACTCATTTTCATCTAAATCCAAATGATTTATAGAATATGCATCAGAAATAGGAGATGAAGGTAATGATGTTCTCTCATTTTCATCTGTAGCAGTAGTAGTAATAGTGGTGGTGGTTACAATAAGTTCTGAATTGCCATTCTGAATAACATCATTATTCACATTATTATAATTATTCTTTTGTTGTATAAAATAAAGAATATAAATTTACAACAAATAAAAAAAAAGGAACATATAAGTAAAAAACTTGTCAGATCCTACTTCTTCATTTTTATTATATTTTAACTCGACATAATTATCTAGAATTTCTGACGCTCTAATTATGAAATCAGTTAAAGTTTCCAACATATTTTCGTTTCCAAGTGCTTCCTTTGCTTCACTTGTGGATATATTGTGATTTACGCTTAATTTATTGATAATTTTTTCTACTATTTCTTCCTAATTTTTCATGTCATGGAAAAAAAAATATCAAAGCCTCATTAAATGAAATAATCAGTTTGATATTTGAAAAGAATGTAATTTACTTACGGGTTGGACATATCTATTTTTTCAAGTATGGAAATTAACGTGATAGGAATGTTTTATTAATTTCAACTAGAGTAACGACGGGTGGCGGGCGATAACCACCACCATCCTTAAAACATTTACCCAGCTACTCCAGATATATTTTTTTTGCTTTTTCTTCTATTTTTGTTTGGGCATTTTTTAAAATTCTGAAAAAGTTTGTGATCGACGTGTACACAATAATTATTTATCCTATATATTGATTTTTTTTTTTGGTAGGACAGACGCGAATTGATTTTTTTTTTTTTGGAAAAACAATAAAAACAATTTATTTTTTGACAGAGTCCAAGGTGAACGTTGTTGTTTGGTTTGGTTTTGGTCTCCTAAAGAATACATGTTAATAACTAACCAGATATAATGTGGTGTATTTTTATTTTGGTTTATAAACATTTTAATATTTTAATTGGAAATCGAAACGCGGAGCAGATCTTGCGGGTAATTACAAGATTTTCATTGATATTATTTTACTTTTCGTAATCAATAATATTAATCAATATTATTATAAATAATATTATAATCACAAGATGTCAAGGCAGCATTGACTGTTGCAAAAGAAACAATTTGATATGCAATGTTTGATTATCGGAAATTTGACAAGTGTTGAAGCACACACGCTGCCTTGAACACTTTACAGTCATTCTCACGTATTCCTCGTGTACATAAGGCTAATCTGACCAAGATTTCCATGATGATACAACGATGCAACCGAATTCCAGGGGGGGGGCGCATGGCCCTGGAGTTTACCGAGACTGCATCATTGTCAATGACACTTTTCACTAATCTTCCCTCACAGCACCAGGACCAGAGAAGGCTGCTGGCACGTTGGATGAAAAGTCATCTGCAATGATCCCACCTCTAAGGTAAGGATGGCTCTGTGACCAAGCTATAACAACTCTGGAGGAATATTAAGAGAATCTGCAACTTGTTTCAAGCACAGGAGGTTGCAATTCAGAGCAGGGTTGGTGGCCCTGAAATTGCATTTGGACTCTGATGTTAAGAGGGAAGTTGTAAAATAGTGTTTGTTTTGTATAATCATTTTCATAAATGCTCTATCAATGTATGTTTTTTTCAACAAAATAAACATTTAAATAATTAATTGTTAAATATTAATACTTTTCTTTTCATAAAAATTACAGCAACCCAGGACTCAAACTCTGAATCCAGGGAAAAATTCAAAGCAGCAATCCAGGTTGCAGCCTTCTGAGTTGCTGAATTTTCAACCCAGTCTTAACACCAACTTTTATGCTAGTGTGGCAATAACACAAATCAATCATCACACATCACACAAGCACCAAGCTATCAGTAGGGTTTGTATTCACAGATACCCTAGCTATCAGTGATCAATGCCCATATGGTGACATCAAGCCTGGTCTTAGGGGAGGATAAGGGAAAGTATTGTCCAAAGCCTTCCAACTTGTTCAAGTCTCTTTCACCTGTGGAATAAATTCCATGGTGCTGAATGGATGCTTTGCACGGCGCTTGCTTGCTGGTGATAGGAAATTTCAATTAAATCTGACACCTGCAATCAACATCAGATTTATTATTCACAAGGAACCATAATTGACAATCATGAAAAATAATTTATTTTGTGAATCCCAGAGATCTGGGTAGACATGCATTATTAAAAGCTTCATTTTTGCATGGCCTTGGTATTGTTACTACCTGGGTGATGCAATTGTTTGTTATGTCAATGATGATATCAAATGTATTGAATAATCGTTATGATGAATATGGGGACAAAGGAATTCACACATTAGGAAAGTATTAAATAGCAATATTGTATTTATTTTATTTTTTATTTTAACCAAGATATATATCGAAAAAATATAAGATAAAAAAATTTCCAGAGTGATTGCATGGAATCCAAGGCTGGAACAATCACACTATTACATGTTCCAAGGTCAATCAAGCAATTATTGAATACATTGGTAATCTTATTGAAGAGGATAGGTTTGTATATACGCAATTTAAAATTTTTTAGGGTCATATCTTTCTTTGTTCTTGTAGGTAACATTTTAAAAATCAAATAATATAATAATCATTATATCAAATTTATTTGTAATTTAGGTTTTCAAAAATTGATAAAATTAATTTTCGAAAAAATTATAATATTTATAAAAATTTTCGCGTGAATGCACTTTTTTTTTTAGTCTTAACATCACACCTCCATCCTTGATTCCGTACTTCTTATCGATCTTTTTTTTAAATGTAAATAAACAATAATTATGAAATATGCGAATATTCTATAATTAATACTTACTTTATGGGCTAACTGATCATAAACTCGACATCCCGACTGGTAAAGAATTAAAAACAATATTGTCATCTTTATCTGATGTCATATTGTTAATCATTTGCTGAAATCATGATTTATTCGATAATGATTTGATTTTTGTCAATGATTGTTGAAATATCTGTAACAATTATAACGTATTCACTTATTCAATATACATATAGGTTTCTCAAATTTTATACGGGAAACAATATTGTTTTGATAATGATGTTTTTTTGATTTTCCTTATCATCATCATTATCAAGTTGATGTTAAAGTTAATAGTGAAGATGATGTTAATGATAATGGTGTAAGTAATTATTTCTCATCACCATCCTAAAAAAATGTGTAAAATATTTTAGTGATACAATTAATATAAAAAATTTAATCGATTATTATTATGACATACCAAAAGAATCAATTGTCTATAATTTTTTCTACAAGAAAATCCAAATTTAATTTTTTTCTTCTGAGTCCCAAATGTTCTTGGATATCATATGCGCTGTAAAAAGTTCTAACGTTTTTTGGGCTTTCAAAATGAATATATCCATAACTATAATTCTAGAGATTACTAAAATAAATAAATCACATGAGTCTTTAAATAAATAATACTTATTTGCAAGTTTTTTTTACCACTGTACATCTAAAAATATGATTATTCCAAATATTTGTCGAGAGATCATTGTAATTGATCCCAAGTAATTCGCCTTTGGTATAATTACTATACTTATGTCTTAATGTATTATTAAACGAACAACGAATTACTTTCTTTAGGATATTTGTTATGATTGTAGTTACATATTTTATTTTTTTTTAAAAAAAATACTTCTAATTAAAGAAGTCAAATCAGCAAAAATACTTTTAATTAAAAAGTCAAAAAGCTCAAGAAAAAAATTACTTCTAATAAAAGTAGTCTAAAAACATTTCTAATAAAGAAGCATCCAAACGAGAACAAACCACTTTTAATTAAAAAAATTAAAAATTCCTTTTAATAAAAGAAGTCAAAACATGCTTCTAAATGAAAAAGCAAAATCACTCTTAATAAATTTAAACATTTGCTTATTTGTTTTTTTTAGTAAATTCAAATAGGTTCTTTATTTTATTAGATCAAAAAAATGATACACACTAATTTTTAAAATAAAAAAAATCTATTTCACTGTTTTAGTATAACTAACACAAAACAACAATTTTCTTCAATTGTTTTTTTAGAAATAAATCTTAGGTCTCAAGATAATAATTTCCACAATTTTATTTTATACATTTTTAGTAATAATAAATAATTTAATCTTGACATAATTATTTTTCATGAAACCAATTGAGGATTTTATTCTCTTTTATATCAATTATTGAATATATGCTTGAAAATACTTCTGTCTGCCTATTTTGCTTGTCACCACAGGGCCAATTTAAAATCTCTTTAATTTTAAAATAAATGAAAACCTACAAAATGAACATAAATTATATATATAGGGATAAGTGTATATATATGAAAAGTAATAAATACAATGGTTCTAATGAATATCAAAAAGCAATTGATTTTTTAGAAAAAGGTTGTAATTGTGGTTGTTCTTCAAGAATTCCCAAGGAAGAATTTGCAGAATTAAGGGAATCCTTTCAAGCTCTTTCTAAATCAGAACAAGACATATTTTTAATGGCCCAACTTAAGGCAATGGATGGTGGATTAACAAGCACTAGCAGACGCCTTAAAAAGAAAACCAGATCTAATAAAAGAACTTTCTATCACTGAGATCACAATACACCTCTTTGTCAAGAAACTTACCTCAATATGTTAGGAATCAGTAGGACTTATTTTGAAAATATCAGAAGTCATCTGATAAATAATGGTCTTTTACCAAGAGTTCATGGTAATATTAAAAGAATGCCTCAATGGAAAACTAAAATGGTGATTGATAAAAATGTTTCAGGAATAGTAAAGAATTTTCTGGAAAATCATGCAGAAGTTCAAGGATTACCAAGTCCAGGAAGAAGTATCAATAGAATAACCCAATCAATTGTATTCTTACCAGCTGAAATGAGTTACAAATCAGTGTATAGAGATTTTCTAGCTGGTCTGGAAGGAAACAGCAAATTGAAATCCTTAAAATATGATGCATTCAGAAAATTATGACATCAACTGACACCAGAGATTCAAATTATGAGTCCAAGGACTGATTTGTGTGATACTTGTCAACATTTTAGAGATGGTTTGTATCATAATACTCGTCAGGAGGAAGAAGCCAAAGATCTACTCAAAAGATTTAAGAACATCTATCTAAGGCAAGATTAGAAAGAAATTATTATAATAAAAACACCAAATTAGCTGGAGAACAAAGAAAACTAGTTGACCAAAATTATTCAAAGGGTAAAACACCATATTACAGCATTGATGCTACTGCTCATTATAGTTATGATTGAGCCCAAAATGTTCATGTACCACATTTATATCAACAAGTAAGTAAAATCTATTACCTTAGTCCATGTAAAGTTCATTTATTTGGTATTCAAGATGAAGCAGTAAGGGAACAAATTAATTATGTTCT